GTTGCAACCTTCAAATCTAAATCACATATGCACCTCAAAAATCTATCGGAAATATTGTTTTAATGTTGAAAAACTCTCTAATCGATCATCTCGACATTGAGATGTATGAATATGACAAAAAAAAAGTTTTTAAGTCTAATGCATCTTGCAGCACATTATCTAGACCATCCATTTTCAAGACATATATTTATAGACCTACTTGATTTTAACCATTTTTGGAATTTAAAATTTTTTAATTAGGTATAAAAATAGATTTTAAAATAATACTAAGAATTTTTTATTACAAAATTACATGTCATGATAAAATTTTAAAGTGTGCCTTAATTGGATTGTTTAAGGTTGCAACCTTGTAGAAACCGCACCCTTAAAGCAAAGATACAGAGTAAAGAACATCGGTGTGCATGCGTATATTTATGTGTAAATGTGCAAGGGGAACCTAGTTAATTATATTAACTTTCAAGAAAAATAAAAAATTATAATTCACATGAACTTAAAGAACCAATGAATATGTCAAACAACGTTACGAGGAAGAACAAATTTAACGTATTTCATAGAAGTTTATTTTTTTTTTCCATAAAGATAATATACGCATAATACATTTTCTTCAAAAAAAACTGAGATTTTCTTTAGGTTATTTAGAAAATCTGGCCTTTTAAATTGTTTTCCTAAAATATAATACCTAAAGGAAATGACACTTTTTTAACATAATTCACTACTATAGTTTGAAGCACATGGTCCAGATTCTTTCCATATATTACAAAAGATAAAAACCTTTCATTTGAACTTTTGAAGGAATGCATGCATTAAGTGACGCAATTCTGCAAATTTATATTTGGAAACGAGGAAAAGGAACTTTCCTTTATATTGGACACGTGACCGAGATTAATCGCTCGCCCATTGCTAAGAAAAATGGCAAAAAGTATCCTCATCTTTAAGGTAAATGCCTAAACTATTTCAAGAATCTTTATTACAGGGTAGCAATGGGCCTAAAAAAATTAAGGTTTGGGCACAAAATGTGGCCCGAGGGCTGGCTAGGGCTGAGCCACCATGGCCCGAGGGCCGGGCTAGGACAAGTCTAGGGCCAAGATAAGGTTGGCCTCGTTTTACCTTTTTGTTCTTTATATGTTTCTTCTATTTTTTAAATTTTTTCCATTAAACCCGGTCAACTGGCCGTACAGGTGGGGGTGGCCACAAGGGTCGGATACAGGTCAGATCCAGCTGTGTCACAACTCTGCCCCCCGGTCCCTACCATTCCCGATCGGAGGGCGATGGTGTGTGGGATCATGACCGGAGGTCGCGTACGTCACTCAGGTAGGAGTGACATCAACACGTGTTATAATTGCAGAATCAAAGCAAACCATGAACTAAAATAAACACATGGCCACAAGCAGAGCAAAATAGAAATCATTTATACAAATCCAATCTTTAAAAATCCTTCTACAAATATTCAAGGTGCTACTGGCCCAACAACAAAATACAATACATCAAAATAACATTGTGGCCACGCCACCAGAGACCTACGATCACAAGCTTCTTGAACAGAACTCAAGCTTCCAAAAGTCTGCTACCACGTCTACCTGTCCTTGTACAAGCAATCGGTTGTCACTCTACATGGAAGGGAAACAAGAGGCATGAGCTAAAAGCCTAGTAAGTAAATCAGTACCTTGCAATCCTGCTTACAGGCTTATAAATCAGAAAGTAAAGTCATACCCTTGAATATGTACATTAACAAAATACAATGAGTATTGTTCAGAAGTCGGAGCATCTAATATTTCCCGAAATGGCAGCTACATTGATGCACATCATAGTCGCAAGACAATCATACGGATACTTAATTCAAACAAACAGAAACAGAAACAGAATCAGAATCAGAATCAGAAACAGAAACATGAACATAATCATTTACTCCCGAAGTAGAAGTCACATCGATCAGGCTAAGCCAATCCTGCAACTTGAAACTTCTACTATCATTCGGGAGGGAGGATAATAACAAATAGAGGTCTCATTTCGCAGTGTTCTCACTCATACACCCGATCCCCAGAGCGCTTTGGGGTTTTGATAGGCTGAGGCCTTGCAAGACACGGCCCTCTCCTTGCGCCTTCAGGCGAGAGGGCGTTACACCACCATTGGAGGACCCAATGCATAGTGCCCATAACAATTTGGCAGGCGCAACCCACCCTGTTATTTACAGTTATCTCTCGACTCCACTCCTATCATTGGAGTAGGGGCAGAATCTAAACTTACGGGCAAAACATAATATCCACTACCAATAGAGGACACATTGCGTAGGGGCCAGAAATCACATATAACAGAATTCATATGATAGAAATATAATATCCACTACCAATGGAGGACCCATTGGGTAGTGGCCATAAATTACATATGACAAAGATCATATAACAGAAACAAAATATCCACTACCAATGGAGGACTCTTTACGTAGTAGCCAGAAATCACATATGACAGAGTTCATATAACATAAACAGAATATCCACTACCAATGGAGGACCCATTGTGTAGTGGCCAGAAATCACATATGACAGAGTTCATATAACAGAAACAGAATATCCACTACCAATGGAGGATCCATTGCGTAGTGGCCAGAAATCACATATAACAGAGTCCCATGTATAAGCATGCATAGCATTCATTCATTCATACTTTACTCTTTTCAAAAGGTCAGGGGCATTCAACATTTGTAGGACCATAAGCATGCTATTTAAATCATCTTGCAAAAGGGATTAAGTTGTGTTCTGAAAGAGATATCGATGCATGACATGTGCATAATTCATGTGCAACTTAAAATTCATTGTTGTCCTTATCAATTATGGGCATGTACAAGATGAGGTATGGTATCAAAATTTTGAAGGGAGATTCAACTAAATTCTGAATCCAATCTGCTAACTGAACAATACTTGATCAATTGAGAGTTCAGTATATCGTTCTGAACCTTGCTGAATTCAACCAATAGTGACATATGTTTACAATTTAGAACCTTATAGGA